AATGAAAAAACATTAACATTAATATTAATGTTAATGTTTTTTCATTAATCATTAATATTAATGTTAATGTTTTCATTAATCATTAATATTAATGATTAATGTTTTGTTGAAAAAACTTAATTCATTAATATTAATGTTAATGTTTTCATTAATATTAATGACCTAATATTAATGAATTAATGTTTAATGAGAACATTAATTCATTAATATTAATGACTTAATGCTAATGAATTAATGTCCTCATTAAACATTAATCGCCAATATTAATGAATTAATGTTCCCATTAAACATTAATTGCCAATATTAATGACTTAATACTAATGAATTAATGTTTAATGAGAACATTAATTCATTAATATTAAGTCATTAATATTAATGAAAACATTAACATTAATATTAATGAATTAAGTTTTTTCAAGAAAACATTAATCATTAATATTAATGATTAATGAAAACATTAACATTAATATTAATGATTAATGAAAAAACATTAACATTAATATTAATGTTAATGTTTTCATTAATCATTAATATTAATGAATTAAGTTTTTAGAGGAAAACATTAACCATTAATATTAATGATTAATGAAAAACATTAACATTAATATTAATGGTTAATGAAATACATTAATTAATGTCATTAATTAAGTCCCGTTAAATTAAATGGTCCACCCCTAATTGTCTCAGATTGCAATGAGTATATGGTATGCTTTTGGTAATCTTGTTGGATATGGTGTAGAGTTTTCTATCAATACAGCTGCTGGACGTTTATTAACTGCTGGTATATATATCTTAGGTTTAATATTAGTAGCATCATATACTGCAAATTTGGCATCTGAACTGACAATAGCAAAATCAAAAGATATTATTTCTGGAATTGATGATATTAAAAATGGAAAAATACCATTTGATCGTATCGGTATTCGTGTAGGTACTGCTGGTGAAGATTATTATTTAAGAGAAATATCTGGAGGCAACCCAAATTATCATAAATTATACTCTCGAGACGAGTTATATAATAGTCTACTCGCACGTCGTATTGACATATCTTTTATAAATAGTGGTACTGGTGAATATGTCACGAATAATATTTATTGTAATTTAACTTTAACTGGAACTGAATTTGAAAAAGGTGTGTTTGGTATTGTTACTCCTCGTGAATGGTTATATGCACAAGATTTAGATGTCAATATTCTAGCATTAAGAGAATCAGGTGATATTGAGAATTTAAGACAAAAATGGTTTGGAGTACAGAATTGTCCGGACTCATTTGAAGAATCGACTGCAATTGGAATTTCAGCACTAAGTGGATTATTTTTGGTTTTTGGAGTGATTGTTATTTTATCATTATTATTATTTGCATGGACAAAACGACATAATATAAAAAATTGTTTATTTATATTGATACATCGAAAAAAATCTTCAGCCGAAACAGAAGACTCTATGAAAAGACGCTCAAGCACAAATTCTGAACATTTACAAAATCATCAAATAGAGTCGCAGGATACTGTATATTTTTAAGTGGAAACTCTCTTTATTGCGCGAAAAACAATTTTCATCACACGATTATCCAGTGAAAAATGTTCCAAAAATTGGTAGAGAACGCGTTCCGAAGAGTAAAAAAAAAGTTTTTCCGAAATGGAACGATGAAGAACGGGTTCTGTTTTTCGGAATCACTTTTTTTTTCTTATAAAAAGGTGTTAGCGATGACTCAAGTCATCACCTTCCTTGTGCGCGTTTTGTTAAAAATGTGATTCTCGCTCACATTTTTCCTTTTCTTCTTGATTCATGATGCATGTTGCGTTGTGTAAAAAATGTGATCTATGATCACATTTTTTCCTTCTTTTTTTTCTCCTATATATACACTATTCTTCTTCTTCGTTTTTTTTTTAAATTCTTTTTTATTGTTCAAACGTGATTTTTTGGTCTTAAAAAATAAAGTCTACAATACACACTCACTCTCAATTCTCTCTCTCTCTCTCAGCTTCACAGACAGGCTAACAAAAGGTCTGTCACGTTTTCAAAACGCGTTCTTCAGTTTTCTGCCATCGAACGACGCATAAAATATTACAATTTGGGCAGATTGTTCACACTCAATCTGATCGAAATATATCTATCTATCTTCTCCTATCTACATACCCTATCCTATGTATTCTATTCTATCCTGTCTATCTATCCTAACAATCAGTCAATCCTATCTACCTATTCTAACTATCTACTTATCCTATTCTATCTACCTATCCTGACTATTTACTTATCCTATCCTATTTATCTATCCCAACTATCTACCTATCATATCCTATCTGTTTATCCTAACTATCTACCTATCTTATTTATCTATCCTATTCTATCCACTTGAGTAATTAGTTAAAACCCGAAAAGAAAACCAAAAAAAAAA